TTATTAACCGTCGTCAGCCAGTTATACCCCGACCCAAGTGGCGTCCCACCCGAGCCTCAAAATCGCGACCTCGTTGATCAGAGTTAGGCTGTTTGACTATGATCAAAGAACTACTTTATTTTGCGTAGTTCGTCTGCAAAGTTTCCGATTTACGTTTTCAGTTTTCCATATCATGATTAATTCAGTATACAGCTAGTTTATAAGATGTGTAGTCTTCGATATTTCTGATAGTGTTCTGTCACTGTAAGTTTGGAGATCGATAATGAGGGTTCCTCCGCGCGCTCATTCTCATTGGTGACTGGGTGGATTTTTCAAAAGGGGTTGGCGAATTTGTTCAGTCAAAGACGGAGGCAAGGGAGCAAGGCTCAAAAACATATTAAGACATAGACGGCGTTCAAGTTTGTGGGCAATCCCGCGCAAATCACCATTTTTTCAGGCACTTAAAATTCTGGGAGTGTTGGGCGACCAACAAGAATTTCGCGGTAACCAGTGCAGCTCGGCCTTTTGCTGCGACTGAATATTTACGCCTCTGGTGTTATATGAAACGCAGATATTTAATCTTTACGAAACCACACTGGAATGCTTCTGCAGATGCCCAGCCTACTTTGTCAGTCACTATTAGTCCAAAGTCATACATTGAAGAGGTAACCAGACATTTAAAGGCGACGGCTGAGCTACAATCCTTCCATCTGTGCCTGACACTAGGGTTTCCGTTGTGTTCCTAGGAGGCATGTCACATTGGGAGCAAACTTATATCCCTGACAATCGGTAAAGAGTTAGAAGCAGTCAGTCCGCCAGGTTTCTAAATATTTGAACCTAACTGGCCCTTACACTTGAATTCCAGGTCTCCCAACTACATGGCGTGCATATTCCGTCCAAGGAAAATCAACGTCGACCTTAAGAACGCCCCTGCCCCGCTCCACGCGCGCGACAACCCAACGTCCTCGGCATGCTGAGTCCGGCACGCAGGAGACGAGGGAACGACAAAATGACTAATGGCCCCCTTCCCTCCCCCTCGTAGAACTGTCTGAATAATTTTGGAGTTAGACATATACGTATTTGTTTCCAGTAGTGGGGACCACAAAAAAAACAACAATAGAAGACTTACCTGGAAATTTTTTCTGATATTTTCGCATATCCTCCACAGAGGGATCCAGAACATTGAGACATTCGCCAACCTCGGCTGGCAGTTCAGTATGCAGAAGATCGATGAAGAAGTCCGCGGGGTTTTCGCGGTCGCTGACTTTATAGCCTGCAAAAAACAAAAAGGTGCCCAAATCCAACAGGCCCTTGGGAGCAGGGTATTGTCGAGTCAACTTTTAAGAAGCTGACACAGCAGGAAATTATATTTGTTGGGGTTCAACTATGGAAGCCACAAGTCGTGAAGCAGCGACTAAAGTCGATCCCCGTAGAAGGTTGTTTCCTTGAACTACAAGTGTAAGCATACTAGATAAAAACTGAAACACTTGTTGACAGCACACGGTCAATCCGCTGAAAATGTGTACGTGTGTGTCGTAGCTCTCGTTGGATCAGGAGTCCCTGCCAGAGTCCAAACTGATGGTAGTTGGAAGACGGAGAAAATCGAGACTTCGATCGGCTTGAGCCAAAGGCCCGTGGGGGTGAGTTGGGTGCCTGGCCGGAAACTGCAGGCGAAAAGATGTTGACTGTCATGCAGAGAGACGCCACAACCGGGACAGCTGTGGGATGTGG